GTTAAAAGGGTGAGGAAGCCTCTTCGGCAGCCATCCAAGCGCAGAAGACCTGCATAACATTTCTGCTGAATAGGGCCCTAAAGACAAAAACAAAACAAAACAAAACAAAACAAAACAAAAACATAGGAACTTGAAAAGCTTTTCTGATTCTGTTGCTTCTTATCAGCGCCTCAGATCTCCAGAGACACTTAACCATTTTTTTTTTCAGTGCAGTTAGGCATCCCTTGAGACGTGCTAGCGATGTGGATGATATGTTACAAGAGAAGTCACATTAGGTTGTTATATATATAAAAAAATAGGTCTTGGTTCTTCTGTAAACAATATCCATTTTTTTAATATCAATTATCAGTGAAAGTTGCCCAAGATCTTGTTGCAAAAAACAAACCAAACCCATAATACAGTGTATAATGTTTGGTGGTTTTGGTTATAGAGTAGACATCAATTTCTTTTTGTCTCACTAAAACTGAAAGGAGCAGACATAACTTGTGTGTTATGTTTCACTTTTAAAATCAGTGTTTCCGAACCCTTTTCTAGAATTTAGTGCATGCATGTGGATCTTGGTCTTGTTCATAAAATATTATCCAGCTTCTAATGCCATATGGAAGAATATTCTCAATTGTAGTACTGGGGAAGTAAGAAATAAAAGCCTTACCTCTGCAAGAGGATGCCAGTGAGCGATGGGCTTCCGAGGGTACGACAGCATTTCGTTCCAGTGGTCACGACCCAGACTTTCTGCGTCGTTGCCTACTTGACATACTCCAATGACCTCATTGTGACCTACACTGTGAAAATGTTCCATAATATTTTTTTCTTAAAACTTTACCTTTAAAAACATACTATTTTCATGTTTCATTAGAAATATTAATCACAGGGTTTTTGAATTAATTCTTGCCTGAAAAATATAAGGAATTATAAAATACATAAGTTTGCTCTTTGATTTTCCCATTAATCAGAATAAAGTATTTCCCCTATTACAGCATACACTGTGTGTCTGTGTGCATTTGGGTTTTTTTTCATGAAGAATGTAAAAATTTCTTTGCCTGTGTTCTGTAATTAGTTGCAAATACAAGTACTCTAAGCCACAATTTTAGAAATGGAGGCATATGTCTAAGGGGTTAATGCACAAACAGAACATCACTGTGTGGACTGTGATGATATGTTCAGTTATTTCAGTTCTGGTAAACATATATATGCAGATTAGTTATGTCACTTATGGATGCAGATCCATATTTTAAAATTTAGAAAGGAAATTCTGCCTGACAACATAAGAAATTTTGGTCTCCTACCAAACTCCACACGACACTAATTTCCCAGTTATTGGGAAAAAATAACAACTTTGTTTCTGAATGCAAATCTACTGTGCAATATTTTATAAGTCAATAGATGATGCTACTTTACAGCTACAGGTATCTCACCGGTCATAATCCATAACAGCTATCGACAAGTTAATTTGGTCAATGTTTTCTGGAGGGACGTCAAAGACTATGGCTTCATTGTAAACAGGATTAAGGGTGTTCCTCTTGGTGGAAGTTTTTCTTTTCTTTAGTCGCCTTCCTTCACACATTAAAGAAACCTTCACATAGGGATCTGTGTGAATCACAAGAACAACATTGGGGTTTTTTTATTGGCTTTAAGCAAACATAAATGGAAAGTGAAGGGAGAAGCCTTCTTGTATGCCCATACCTGCTTGCAGAAGTAGTCACCTGGATCTGAACGGAATTTGAGCTTCATTACCAAGGAATGCCTGAGAGGCAGTGGAGCTTTGAAAGCTTTACCTGGCTGAGTGCTTATAATGAACAATTTAGGTTTAAGAAGCTCCTTGTTGTGCACTGACTTCTCAAAGGGCATTAAAATATCCACTGAACCATGTCATATGTGACTGTTTTATACAACAGCCTGTGTATCAGCCTATTTATAACAGTCTGTTTACTTGTACAGATTTGTAGGAAACAAAGATGATGTAGGAAAGAAACAATATTTTTGCACAGTGACATTTATAAAGTACGGTTATATATAATTCAAAGTGTAACAGTGGCTTATATTTCTCAAGAGAATTATAATGATTTTTACACTCCTGAATGTAGTAAAAAATGCTATTTCTTTGTAGCTCCTTTCTGTGAGCTCTAAGACTGATTGCTAGTATTTAAAAGTCATCTATGAATTATTTAAATTAGCTTGTTGTTTTCATCATCACATTTTGAAAGGGTTGCTGAAAGGAGCCTGGGATGATCAGTGTTTTGTCCATATGCCAACAACAGCAGAATTGGCTCAGTGGCTCTTGGAGATTGTCAGAGAGGGTCAGTCTGCCTCCCTGACATAGCTGAAACAAATAGTCTGCTGTGCAAACAGACTCCCAGTGTTACGAATGCAGTTTGGCCAACTCCTGCCTTTCTGAATCACAGCAGCTTTAGAAACAATGATCTCGCAGTCTTTTTAAGAAGAGATTATTTTAAACTGTTGGTTGCAATTGAGCAAACTAAAATATATTATTCATTTCTCAGAAACTCCTTTACTCAAGAAACTCAAGAGCTCACACTATAAGAACTCTCTTCTCAGAAATAGTTCTGGGGTTTGACAGTGCTGAATTCTGTGTCTCAGGAGGGAAACAGGACAGAAATCCACACTGAGCATTAAATTCATTCCTACCTGATGCTCCTGTGATATCCATCGCCTTCAAATTTCTTGCCTTTATTATTGTAATAGTTAGTCTACCAGCTGTTGGAAGGTAGCAGAGTGAAAACATCAGGTCACCAAGATCCACGTTATCCTGTTCCAAGTAAAGAGAGATAATGTGATGTAGTAATAACAATATTCCCTACCCATAACAGGAACTAAAGATAAAAATATACCTCTGGGGATCTACAGTTATGCAAGCAAAAGCTGAATTCTCATCCTGAAAAGTATCTGAAAAAAAACAGACAGCTACTGCATAGGGTTCAAGTCACCACTTTTTTTGCTAGACCACCAGAGTTCTCAATGGGATTACAGTTTCCAGCACTCAGTCCCTGGAGATGAAACGCATTTCAGTGATTCAGTGATGAGTCACAGCATAAGACACTTGAATTCCTTTGTTCTCTTTGATGTTTTGTAGTGGTTTCTGTGCATCATTGACAAGCTGCAACAGAACTCTGTGCCTTTCTTTCTGGTATGTAGAAAGATACCCCTAGAGAGGTTCACAGAAAAAAAGCAACCCATTGTATGCAACTCTCAAGCTTGTGTAAACTCAGGTGTGATAGGTGTGAAGTCACTATGGTAATGGGGCAGTCTCCACCAGAAGTAGAGTAAGGACATGACTTCCTGTGCCTTGTGCAGACACACTCCCTCAAGTAAGCTTATGCACTTGTTTCATCAATAGAATGAGTTGCAACCCTTGCCTGTGTCAGTGGCATCAGGACTTCAGAAAGGTAGTAGAAAATGAGCAAACCATGTTTGCAGTTACTAAGCACCTTTTTTTTTTTTTTTTTTAAAAAAATGGAAAGCCAGCTCTTTTATGAAAAATATAGTAAATAAAGGATTGTATTAAATGATTTCTGGGATTTGATTTACATTTTTTTTAGCTAAGCAGTGAACTAGCACTTTCATAGACCTATGTCCTGTAACCTAATATTTCACTTGACTGAAAAAAGCATCCTGTCTGGCAAATTCAAAGCTACATTCTATGTTTTACAGGGAAGGGAAATAGAGCTGATGTGGAATACGTGTATCTTGTCCACTTAGCTTTGTGCAATAGCTCCTCTCTTCATAGGTTGGCTCCTCCTGTGTCAGCCACCCAAATATGAGGTGGTGGATGACATAGAAAATGAGTGAAAATCCCTTGAAACAGCACCTGACAGGTTAGTGTTTGTCTCTTAGCTAGCTGCTGTGTAGACCAATGCCCAGAGCCTATGCAGTCACTTTATGCAGCTTCCTGAGTTAGCAGGGGAGCCATGCAGCACAGAAAGAAGTGCTATCATGGAGCTGCAGAATCACAGAATCACTATGGTTGGAAAGGACCTCTAGGATCATCAAGTCCAACCTTCCTCCCAGCATTTCCCTAACCACTAGACCATAGCATCAAGCGCTACATCTACTCATTTCTTGAACACTTCTAGGGACAATGACTCCACCACCTCCCTGGGCAGCCTGTTCCAGTGCCTAACCACTCTCTCAGTGAAGAAATTCTTTCTAATATCCAATCAAAACCAGGCCATTTCCTCTCAGCCTATCATCAGTAATTTGTGAGAAGAGACAAACACCCACCTCACTACAATCTCCTTTTAGGTAGAAAAATGTGTTTGAAGGGATTTCTAGAGGTCACTTGATCCAATCCCTTGCTCAAGAGAGGCATCTTCACTTTAGTTCTTACCTCATGCAAGGAAAAAAAATACTCATGTACATTCATTCAGAAAAATGTTCTTGCCTTGTTCTGTTATTGGAGACGTTGTCAGAAAGGAAAAAAAAAAAGATGTTATGGGCCCTTTGTCACTAATAGCTAGCTTTTAACCCTGACTTGACTTCATCAACTATCATCTTTTCCATTCTACAGCTCAGTGTTTCATGGTAGCTGTAATGCTAATAAAGGTTGTGACAGTATCAAGATGGCTGATATGACCCACCCTGTTTAGTGACTCTTGATGGCTCACACTCGTAAGCAGACCTGCTTAACAAACTGTGTCACTGACTCACTTTGACTGGGAGGATCAAAGTGCTCTTTGAGAAAGTGATGCTGTAAGAAGTCCTACAGGCTAAAGTGATGTTAGCACATCCAGGAGAAGCTTCTCTTGGCTAACACCTGCACTTAATATTACAGGAGCGATAACTGGTATCTGGAACTTTCCCAGTGGTCAGCTTGAGCTTGGTACCTATAACCTGGAGAACAGGAAGCAAAAATTTCACTTATCCTCCCCATTGTGAGGAAGAACAGCTTCCAGCATCCAAGTGTACTTACTTCCCCAGCTCTGAGGCGCTGGGATTCATAGCTGTGGAATTCTCTCTCGTGCTGCAACTCTGAGTGGAGCAGAATTTCATAAGCCATTTAAAGAAATTATTGAGTGAAGCCACCTTTTGGCAATTTGGGAAGTTTGTCACTCTGCCAGATTTTGATTAAGCAATTATTTTTTATTAACTGGTCACAAACTTCTAGAAGATAGCATTGTTGAATCACTCAGGTTTTCCCTTACCATAAAGAAGCCCATCAGGCATCCGGCTTTTTAACTGTGTGTCTTGGTATTCTTAGATACTGTCAACCATGGCAAAGCCATTCTGTATTCAACTCAAGTGCACCACATGGTGACAAGGGAACTTGTCATGTGAGTACTGTAAATGCTTTATTCTTACTACCAAATGTAAGATTTTCCAGACTTGCTCATCCTGAATGAACATTTTTAAAATCTTGTATCAATTCTTAACAAGAATTTAATGGGCAAATAAATTACTATACAATTGGTTTAGATATAAATTCCAGTTAAAATGTTAGCCCTCTGCATAAACACAAATTGGTTAGGAAAGAACAGATCATGTGTTGGATGCAGTGTTATGCCATAATTTGCTTAGCCACAAGCTTTGCCTTGTGCTTGACAAATAATCATCACCTATACTGTGATGTACTTTGCAGCAAATGCTGCAGTGACAGCAATACTTCATTAACAACAGTTGGAATCAGCTTTCTTCTCTCCCTTCTCATGAATACATTTGGGTGCAGAGAATAGGTATGTAAAATTGTGCAAAACAGGAGGCAAGATGAATTGTAGGTTGCAACTTCTGCTTTTGCCACTTGTCCAGAAGAAGATATGCTGTCCTTGAGTTAGCCAATCACAAGTTTGGTACCCAGTTCTTCTGACACTTGTGTTTTGTATTTCTGGAGCAGACAAGTGGTGATAGGCCTGCTACCACACAGTGCCTGTGCCACTCTAATTAAAGCATATGTCTCAATTATACCAAGTTCCTCAGTTCTCCATCTATAAAAAGACAGACACTACTTTCTTACTTTTCTAGCATGTTGCAAAAATAATGCTAATTATGGATTGTGAGATGCTCAGCTGTATTTCTATGCATCTCATCAACTTACTGTTAATGGGAGCACCTACAGGCAGTGATGCCCTTGCTTATTTCTTTTAACGTTGCTAACTGTTGAAAGAGGTTTTTAAGGCACTTGTGATTTCAGAGATTTTATGAAATCTTATTGCTATTGCACAGCTGTACAGCTCAGGCAATGGTAATTTTGTGTATTACCTCCTTTAGCAGTTATCCTTGTCTAGGTCATGGAAGATCAGGAAAACAGCAGAGTTTTCAAGAAAACAGATAGGATCATTTGAGCTTCTGAAGCACAGACAGGATTGATTACCAGTATTTAATTAAATTATCTTGTATTTTTTCCCTGCTAGCAGAAGAGTATTAGTTGTATTTTAAACAACAAAAAAGAAATCTTCCTACATATTTCTTAATTTTTCATGGAATTAATGGAATTATACTTCTGTGATGCAAGACAAATTTTACTGTACATCATTCTAATATTTGATAATGTGGGTTTTATTTTAGAAGAGGTTCACTTTCCTAAGATGAGGATAATTTAAGTATGCTAGGTATATCTATTAGGTCTAAATTATTTAAAAATACCTTCAGAAGTGCTATCTACTTTTATATACTTTTATTAAATTGTTCATCTGTGATAAGGAGTCTGGAATCAGATTTGAGTGAGCTAAGACAGTGATTCAGTTCAGGTACATGTCCAGAACACAAATACCATACTAAACAAATTTGATACTAATCTGTTTTGGAATGATAGTAAATCTGAAGTATCTAACATGACAAATTCCTGAAGTTCACTCCATATTTTTTATTATTCCACCACAGAATTATTTTGAGTTATAGCTATGAGAAATGTATACTGAGAAAAACTCCTTAGAAGAGTCCCATTTTTCATTACACAGTTTAGGATGAATAGAGAAGATATGACTGGAAAATTCCATTTTCATGACATCTTAAAGAAATGAACTCTAGTCAAGTAGGTATTTATTAATGCCTCAAACTATATCTATGGAGCTATGATTAAGTAAAGTTTGTGGGAAATGAGAATGGCCTTTTACAATAATTCCTTCAATACATCAAAATGAGGCGAAGGGGGGCTGCCCGCTCGGCAGCTCCTGCAGAGGGGAGGAGGCAGCAGGCTCGGGCTGCCCACCTGGCTGGGCGACCAGCAGCTGACCCAGCAGGGGGAGGGGATGCCGAGGAAACGGCTTGGGGTCCAAACAGAACCCAGCACTTTTTGTTCTTACTGAGTCACTTAAGACTTAACTGATAAATTATTCTGTAATAAGATCCTCACTTTAAAAAAGCCCCCATTCAGTAAAGATAAACTTCATACACATACTTACTTTAAACATAAGGTTAAATCTGTAGATTTTACTGGCGTTGAATCCTTTACATAGATTTTCAATTCCCAACAACTAAAGTGCTTTGCTGACTCTGGGTCTGAGAGTGAATCTAATGAATTATCTGTAGCTGTTGAGAGAACATCTCAATTTGTTCCGAATTAAATTGATGAACTGTGGAGACAGTCTGAATTGAGCTAACAAAAATTAGTAGAGACATGATTGCAAAAGCTGGAGTACTTGTCCTGTTTATGTGTGTGGCTGTGTCAGAAGTTGATTTAACAGGAAAAACAAAAATGAGATATTCTGAAAATGAAATTTCTGTAGAAAGTTAATATGATTTTTAACTTCTTCATCAGTTCTTAGGAGGAGGAAAGGGTGCATACAAAGTTGTTTCTGAAGGCTTGATAGGTGGGAA